TTTTTATTATTTTTAATATTTATTACATGCATATGTTAGAAAAATCTTGCTTGTTTAAGCATCCACTTGTGGACAACATTCAAAACAAGAAGAAAATGAATATGGCTTCGTTGTTAGAAAGGAAAGTGACCGTCAAATGCCAATATTAATCAAAGTCAGACGGAATTCAAAAAAAATAAAAAAATCAAAGTACACGGAGAATCCACGTCCCCGCTCCCCACGTCAAATGATCCCAGAAACACGCCAAATCACGACTTTAGACACGCCCCAAATTCCAATACCAATGGTGCGTATCGAAGTCCACAAAAGACCCCACCGTCAAATGAAATGACCCTTAGATTAAGCGTCTCACGTGGGTGGTGTTATTGCCACAGCCACTAATGTTAATGTCACAGCTTTTTTTAGTTATTTGACCATTAACCCACGCGGAGAAGGTGGTGACTGCTACAAGTTGGATTCAAATGAGGGGTATAATAGTCAAATAACTAAAAAAAAGCTGTGGCATTAACATTAGTGGCTGTGGCAATAACACCACCCGTCTCACGTCTGTTTGGTTTGCCGAAATAATATTAATTTTTTTTAATAAAAAAACATTTTCCCTTCATATCTGGTTGTATGATTGTAGACTTCATTTTTGGTTGGTTTTCTCATTTGTTAGTCCATTAGTTAACCATTGTGTGGAGATGCTTTTACTCTCATTTACTCGTTCAACATCTGGCCTAGACCTTTGAAGATCCTTGCAGTTCTGCTTTCGATGAAACTGCAATTCGAAACACGGCAAATAGTTATTTTGTTGTGGTATTATTACTTTCTGGGAAACAAATTTTGTTAATTTACAACTAAGTTCTTACTCATGATTATCTTTTTTTTCATCCCAATTTTAATGCCTGTAGTGACTTTTCATCGATTTGGTTTATTTGCATTTACACAAAGGGTTTGTCTTTTTACATTATTTATTATTTAAAAATATAAAAATTATCATTAATTTTATTATTAATATCACATGAATTTTTTTACTTTCATAATTACTTAAATAGTTATTAATTTTTATTTTTTTAATAATAATTAATAAAAAATATAATAATTATACTTTTAACATGTATTATTAAAAGAATTCTTAATCAAAATGTATTGACTGTTCATCAATTCTTTGCGCTGACCTGTTTGGCATGGTAGGAGTGGACTTATGCAGTGCCTGTTACATAGGAAGTCTCAAATTAGGGTCCACCCATTCAATTTATTTTGCTTTATTATGTTATAACACATGATTTTTTTTTATTAAATTTTTTAATATTTAAAAATTATATTAAATCTTAACTAATTTAAAGTTAAGTTATATTGAATCTAACTCTTTTAGTAT